GGCTGGTAGCCGTGATGTATTGTAGTATACTATAGTATACTACAGACAGGCCCGGCTGATAGCCGTATTGTCGGCTGGTAGCCGTGAAGTATCGTAGTATACTACAGTATACTACCAACAGGCATGGCTGACACTCGTATTGCATGGTAGTATTGTATTACAGTTAAATAACCCCGGCTGGAAGCCGTGATCTATGCCGTGATGTATTGTAAGTATTGTATTAAAGTGTAGATACGGCTCGGCTGCTACTGTACCCTTGGCCGTGTACGATGGTGTACGTATTTACGCAATCTTTAATCGCGCTGGCTAAGAATAACCTGTATATATACAATAAATTAACATATTTTCCGTGTAAGACGTGGTGGCGCAGAGGGACAAGACTCAGCGTGTGTGCTGAAGGTCGCCAGTTCGGTCCCGGAATGCGCGCAAACGAATTTGAATTTTTCTTTTTGCCAAAATTGTTTTTTTTCTCGTTTATTTACCTGTCGCATAGCTAGCTATATGCATTGGGAAGATGAATTTAGATGCATTTCGATGATTTTCGGAAAATTTAATGTAATTTTGGTGGTTTTCTGCTTACGAAACATTCTAGAACCAGTCTCCAAATTGCGCGCATTTTTTGAACGAATAGTATGCTATAGTACAGCCCGGCTGGCAGCCGAGCAATCGGAGACAAAATTTCCGGCTGTCAGCCGGCGTCAAACGCGCTAATCGGGTGGACTATTGACGTAGTTTTACAAGAAGTTGTTTGCCATAATGCTGGAAATGATGGGAAAAGCGATGGGGCGAGGAAGATAAGGGATGCCTTGTGGACAGTGGCCGTTGAATCGGAGCTGGACTCCGACTGAAAGTTGCCGATCTCTCAGTTGGCATATTAATAACATGGCATGCTGCGGAAATTTTGGCTAGCTCCGCAATGCCCTGCATTGTTTCGGCATGAATCGAGATTATGGCTGTCGGCAATAAAAGCGGAGTATTAGACATCCATTTCATGGTGAAATATATCGAGATATAAAGATATTCCCTTAGAGCTATTTTCCATGCTGGGATCAGAGATTGGTGAAAACCAGTAAACCACTCCTGAGTATTGTGAGCCTTTTTGCTTCCTTGGGAAAAACAAAAATAATTATTTATAAACAGTAAGATTTCTCTTACGTTTATACAGCAATGCTCTAAAATCAGTAAAATGTAAATACAGCAAGTAAAATATTGTTGCATTTCAGAGCATTGTCCTTTTAAGCAAGATATGATCACCACCATCTACATATAACTACAGTATATTTTTACTTTCACCCATCTCAATACACCCTTTAGGTAATTAAATCACAAATACCCCTTTGGTCTAGAAGCCGCACTCTCATAAAAAAATAAATTCATGAACTAAAGGTTCCCTTCCTTCCAAGGAAGACATTTTCAAGGAATATCTTGATTTATTTCACTATAAAACAGCATTCTACAATTTAAATATTGAATGAGCTAGGAAATGTTTCTTTTTCTCACCTGCAATATTGATTTCATTTCTCATGACAAAAACATTTGCCAGAAATGATTTATAGCATGCCACCTGCCGACAGCCATAATCATGTCACATGTTGCAACAGTGCTTAAAGACACTGAATGTCATGACAACAACATAGCTGGGAATATGTTTGAATCTATTCATTTCTAAAAACTATACCCTTATTACACACATTGGACACAGTTTCTTTTTTTAATGATTTTATTCATTGTTAGTGGGATATAGATAAATATGTAGACCACTGTTTATTTATGATGCTCCTCTTGCTTGATCGCAGTGGGAATCGAACCCACAACTTTTGGTTTTCTTACCGACTTGACACCATGCATGTATGGCCCAGTTGGTAGAGCATTGGACTAGCAAACTGAAGATTGCGGGTTCGATTCCCACTGCTGTCAAGCAAACTCTTCTGCTTGCCCGGTGTGAACACACTCAAAGTAGCATCAGTACCAGTGTATGCGACACTTTATAATGTCCTATCTATCAGGATACTAGCATGTGTATATTTTATTTCTATTAATATTTTCACACTGAGAACAATAAAATGCTGACATTGCATTTATTTGATGATTGTAGTTTGATATCTTAACAGCCAAATCATTCTTGAATTCCTGGGTATATTCCTGCAAAAACATGCAATAATTATAAACAAAATTATACATATTCTACAATAATTATAAACCCAATGCCCAACCCCATCACTCCGTCTCCCTGTCAGGTGCACAAATCAGCATAAATTTGTTGTCCTGGTGCACAAACCCTAAGAATTCAGGGATCCCTCAGAAAACCTCATCCCAATAGCATGCTGTTTAGAATTATTTCCTATATTAGACAACCCTTCAGATAAATTTTTATCCAAAATTTTAATAATACACCCTTTCAATAATTACGTCATTTGGCCTGGGAGCCTTGCACTCATAAATCGAGATCCAGGGCTCCAAGAGCAAAATGTATGTGTGACGTAAATATCGAAAGGGTGTATTTACAGGTTACCCTTAAGAATTTGGTTAAAATTCAGGCAATCCCTCAGAAAACCTCATCCCCAATAGCATGCTGTTCAGAATTATTTCCTATTTTAGACAACCCTTCGGATAAATTTTTATAAAAAAATTTGGTAATACATCCTTTCAATAATTACATCATTTGACCTGGGTGCCTTACACTCATGGATTGTGAGCTGGGACTCCAAGAGCAAAAAGTATGTGTGACGTAGTAATCGAAAGGGTGTATTTACAGGTTACCCTGAAGAATTTTGTTAAAATTGAGGCAATCCCTCGGAAAACCTCATCTCCAATACCAGCTGCTCAGAATTACTTCCTATTTTAGACAACCCTTCGGATGAATTTTATCCAAAATTTTAATAATACACCCTTTCAGTAATTACGTCATTTGGCCTGGGTGCCTTGCACTCATGAATCATGATCTGGGGCTCCAAGAGCAAAAAGTATGTGTTACGTAATCATCAAAAGGGTGTATTTACAGGTTTATACCCTGACAAATTTCGTTCAAATTCAGGCGACCCCTCAGAAAACCTCATCCATAGGGGTGTGTGTATATAAAATGAATGGTTCATTAGGTGAAAACAATCAAATATTGAATTGTCAGACAAATTTACTGTCTTTACTTGTCAAGGTGAAAATGTTGGGTATTAATATCAAAAATGCTTTTGAAAGATTATTCATGTAGTAAACAATAAACATAAATAAATACATTCAACGAAGGGATCTTTGACTCACTGTCCAAGTGGTTAAGTAAACATTAACCTAGCAGCTGAGCCGATCGATCATGTTGAAAAAATATGTATAAATACTATGATTTGACTATTACCTACGAGGCATCGATTTGTTAAAATTTTGTACTAAATTATTATTATTATTATATTTATATTTATCCAGGATACCCACGTCACCGAAGTGTTTTTCAGTGGGGTCCTGCATTATAAATTTCAACTTCAATATACATATACATTACAAAATAACATGCAAATCTACAATAACATGCGTTAACATACTTATACTATATATATATATATATATATATATATATATATATATATATATATATATATATATATATATATATATATATATATATATATATATATATATATATATATATACAAAACGTAATGGAACTAAGACTATGTTTACTATGTAATTCTCGCCTACACGGCGTTTTTTAATAGAGTTTTAAACTTGTATAACGAGTTAGCGTTTCTGATGTCTGGTTCTAGGTTGTTAAAGTCTTTTGATGCTTGGTAGCTTCGTCTTTGTTTTCCCTTGTTCGTGTTCGTCTTTGGGAGGTGGAGGTCGTTTTTTCTTCTCGTGTAATAGCTGTGAATGTCTTCGTTCTTTGTTAATTCAAATTTAAAGTCAATTAAATCATTTAAAAACATTTATAAATAAATATACATCAGCTATGGTTATGTCTTCAAGTTTTAAGTGTTGTCCATTTTAGTCGTCGTAGTGCTTCCGTTGCAGAATAGCGTGGATGTTCATCTAAGATCAGCTTTGCAGCTTTGTTCTCTAAAGTTTGAAGGGAATCCATCAGCACCGAATTGTTCTTATCACCCCAAATGGTATCGGCATAATCAAACAGTGGCAGTATTAGAGACGTATAAAGAATATAACGTGTATCCAGAATAAATAAACTACCAAAATATATAAATAAACTACCAGTATATATAAATAAACTACCAAAACAATTAAAAGGCTCATCTTACCCTTTTATCCAATCTTTTTAATTTCTTAGCCGTTGCTCTACCCTGCTTCGTCTTGTTATCTATGGCTATAAAGCTTAACCTTTGCTGTCGCATACGCTTCCGACAATGAAGCGCTTGTATTGTGTTGCTCTTTTCCACGGCATATTTACAATTTCATTGCACAATTATCAAAAAACAAAAAACATACGATTGTAAATGGACACTTTATCTTTCAAATCACACAATAACGAAAACAATCAGAGCATAAACAAAAAAGATATAACTAGCCGAAATTTGTGTATTTTAGCGACTTCCTTTGAAACTTCGTAACTAGCGCGAATGCCCGGAAGAAGACGAAGCAAACTAGAATAATAATAAAGTAACCATGGCAATAATTGGGATCAAAATAATCCACAGAATTTCCTCTTTCACACTCGTATATACCTATATATTCTTACACATCCTACAAAGTACCAGAAGCAAGAGAAAAAGCGCGATTTTCAAAATTAGAATTAGTTACCAGTCTTACATTTTTTCCGCTCGGTAATTAGAAAAATAGTGGACACTTATAATTGGCGCTTTTGGATGCATTTTTGACAGGCGTGTGTTATCACTGGGGCTAGATATTTTGCAAAGTCTTTCCATACCCAATAGGGTAGGCCATCAGGACCTGTTGATGTTTTCTTTTGTTTTTCCAAAAACCTTTCTACAGTGGGTATATCAACATTTGGTACTCTAGTCTCATTGGGTATAGGAACGAGTTCAGGATATGTATAATTATCATCAGTGTTTATTGTCTGGAAATAACTATTTATAACACTTGGATCAATATTTATACTGGTGTGATTTGCCTTCCTACCGGTGATTTTATTAACTGTGTCCCACCATTTCTTCGATCCAGATGCATATTTCCCATTCTCCTTCTTAACTTCACTAACCATATTTTCTCGGATAAGCTTATTTATCTTTCTTTGTAGATCTTCGTTAACTCCTTTCCTCACACTTTTATTGCGTATTTTACATAAATATTTTACCAGAGGAGACATGTATGGGGGATCCCGTGTGGATAATTTTATCTTAATCAATGGAAAACTGTTGTTGAATGCAGAAGTGATAATATGATTTAATAACATAACTGATTCGTTCACGTCTTCACAGTCATCAATACAGCTCCAGTCTTGTGCTTCCAACTCTCTCACCATAGCAAACTTTCCGATGGTCTCTTGCATCTCTAAAATAAACTGTTTTTCTTTCCGGTTTTACAGCTACCCGTGGAGTTATCACGACAGCCAAATGGTCAGATTTTACTAAGCCATCAAAGACTCTAGGGTGATTCCATAAGTGTGGACAATTAGTTAGGAAAATGTCAAGTATTTTCTGACCTCTTGTAGGTTTTCTCACCATTTGTTCCATATTATGTTGACTTATAATATCCTTAACCTTCAGTTGATTAACATCTCCTCCAATTATAATTCTGGCATTTGATTCCCACTGAAGAATTTGCTCTATACTCTCTGATAAATGATTTAGTAATTCGCTTTCCTGATATGTGGGGTCCGGAGGGTGATACACAGAGGCGAAATAGTATTTGCTATTTGCTATCTCAATTTCACACCAGATGCATTCCAAATTATTTTGAAAGTTTAGAGATTTACATTTCCAATCTTCCCGACAAATTATAGCAACACCTCCTCCATTTCGACCATCGCCGCGATCTTTTCTTACAATAAGATAGTTATTGGGACATACTAAATTTGATAATATCTTACTGTTCAACCATGTCTCGCACACGAAGCAGATGTCAATTTCCCATGTAGAGAGTTCAACATCCAACGCAGAAACTGCCTGAGGTTTGGCAAGAGAACGTGCATTTATAACCATGCATTTGGGTATGATCTTTTGCGTAGGAGGACCATTTCTGGTGGGCTTGATAGCAATTAAATTTGCATGTGTATTCCTAGTGTGATTATATAATGGTTCATCCTAATTAGTATTCTTTTGTAGTTGTATTTTAAGCTATTCAAAACACTCGTTGTCGTGTTTTATCAGACATAAAGCGCTCGGTTGCGCCTCGCGTTTTATATCTGATAAAACACTCCTATTCGTATTTTAAATAGTACTTCAAAAACTGAAAAACTACATAACAGCGATTTAAAATTTCATACCCTAGCGCAGTGATTTTGAGGTCAGTGCGAACGCCTGAGTAGGCGTCTTAGTGCGAACGCCTCGGTCTGCTTCACGGCAGTCCGGTTCTATCTATCTATTCATAATGTAACCAGTCACTGAAAAGCCCTGATAGGGAGTGTGCTGTGAAATATCTGTATCTGTATCTATCTGTATATAGCTTATAACATCATGATTGCGGGTATTCCCTTTGTTCTCGCAGGGCAATTAAAAACTAATACACCTCATTATATTCATTTTTTCTAATCCAACCCGCTTTTACGTCATGTCAGACAGGATTAGTTCTACTATAAATGAAGATATCTGAAATCGCCAAACTAAACAAAAACATGGAAAACAATTATACCATTTAATTTATACCATTATTTATTGTTAATTGGTTTGTAATGGCCTTGCGAGAACAAAGGGAATACCCGCAATCGGTCTTGTCTAAAAGTACACACGAGTGACCACTACTGACTACGAGTGACCACGGATGACCACGAGTGACCACGAGTGACCACGGATGACCACAAATGACCACGAGTGATTTCTGTGTTTAAAAGTCATAAAATAATTATAAAAATCTATTTTAATGTGGCTCCATAGTGTCTTTGCATTATACTATACTTTTGTATCCAGAAAACACGGACCTGTTTCTTCACTTTACATGACACGAAGTCAAAATTTATTGGACACATTACCAATGCTCTCCTGAGCATTGCCATTAACTACTTTTGCGCTGAAAGTCCGTTACCATGGTGACAGCGTGCTTTGGATAATTAAGCTCAAATTTTGTCTTTTTCCGACCGTTTTAAAAATTTTAAAATTTGCACAAAAGCTCAGTTCTCGTATAATGATTTTTTCTTCAATTTTAAAAAAAATTATGGAACGTTTCTTAGAATATTCCTTTCAATAAAATTTTAAGAAAAAAGGATATTGAGCTTGTTTAGCCGATATTAGGAAATGTGCAAAGTTTTAAAACAATTTACCGAAGAAAGAAGGTGAAATTTAGCCAGAAATTTTGGCATTTTTTGCGAGATGTGGCGACGCGTAACCCCCAATTTTGATATTTTCAGGTAAAATTTGCGTAATAAAGTAATTATTTGTGTGAAATGATAACCATTTTTGTAAAATATACAGTCAGTTTACATCCAATTTGTTTGCGAATTTGCATTAGAAAACGCCAGAATTCCAGTCCTAGAGCTTCAAAAATGGAACAATTTTTGGGTGGAGGACCTCCAAACCCCTGTTTTCTCCCAAACTTAGTATGACAGTGCAAGTCATTATCACAAGAAACTTTAGTATAATTATTACACTGTAGGTAAATATTTATTAATTAAAAATTCAAATTTCAGGTAAAATCCTCCGACAACCCCCCTCCCCCCAACTTCAGATGCTTTGCTATGTTCCTGTAGACTGACGTGTACAATAGTCAAAAACTAAAAAAAAATTCCCGTAAGCATTTTTAAAATGGCCGAAAAAAGACAAATTTTGAGCCTTATCCTAAGCACGCTGTTGCCATGGTAACAGACTTTCTTCGCAAAAGTAGCACATTGCAATGTTCAGGAGAGCATTGTCAATGTGTCCAACTGATAAATTTCGTCTTCGTGTCATGTAAAGTGAAGAAACAGGCGTTTTCTGGATACAAAAGTATAGTATAATGCAAAAACCCTAAGGAGCCACCTTAAAATAGTTTTTTTACTATTATTTTATGACTTTTAAACACAGAAACCACTCGTGGTCACTCGTGGTCATTCGTGGTCATTCGTGGTCATTCGTGGTCACTCGTGGTAACTCGTGGTCATTCGTGGTCACTCGTGGTCACTCGTGTGTACTTTTAGACAAGATCCTCGCAATCATGTTGTTGTAGGGCAATGCATAAAAAGAGGCGAATTAGCTATTGAAAACGTCCCGCCCGATGAGGGTCGTTTAGTAAAATTCCCTTGGGGGCCACTCGATTCGGGTCATTTAGTAACTTTTACTAAACGACCCTCATCGGGCGGGACGTTTTAATAGCTAATTCGCCTCTTACTTATAAATACCATTCAATTGTTCGCAGTTTGTATTTTTTCTCTACATACACGCCAACTCATCGTTCGAGATTTTACCGTGCCAATACTAATTTATAACTTTTTCTCCTCCAAAGAATTAAAGAAAAAGACGAAAATGCAGCAAAAACAGGAGAACACGCAAACAAAGAATCTACTTCCTATAGCTACTCTTGCCCTGAAAATCCCAACGTCAATTTTACGATACTACCCAGCATTGAGAGAGCAACGTTTCCTTCTTTCAAAGCTTACATTGAATGTGTCGAAATTGAAAAATATAATGCATTCTTTATTTTAACTGCTGAAAAATTTAGTAAAAGGCATTTGATTTTTGCCAAAAATCTTCAGTCCAAAAAGAAGCCATTCTTTTTCATTCGAACCAAGATCGATAAAGAGAACCATCCCGAAAAACGGGAAAAAGAAATTAATGAAGAGAAGTTGGTTGAGGTGATCAAGACGATTCTTGTTGAAAATTTAAAAGAGTTTGATTTTGAAAAGAAGGAAATTTATTTTATAAGTAATTATCACCCGGACAAATGGGATTTTGACAACCTCACGGAAGCAATCACAGATGCTTTACCTGATCCTCAAAAGAAGTGTTTTAGCACGATGCTGGAGAATATTCAAAAGTTAATTGATACGGAGAACTTTGAGAATTTCCTAAAAGGTACCATGCATGATGCGGTAAATTATGTATTTTTCATAAATCTCATTGTATAATTCTCAAGTATAGAAGTGCTAGTCGTATACGTATAGAAATGCCAATCGTAATAACATATATGTTATTTACCGACTGGGATGTCCGTACTGAACAATATTTTCCCGAGGTCTCAGAAACGGCCCGAGATCAAAGATCAAAAGTCGAGGGGCAATCACACGATACAGAACTCTCGCACACGCATTACGGGCTTCTCACGTATCGCGCCAAAACGAACCGAGGAGCGAAAACAATTTTCAAACTGAAAAATATTATTTAAAAATTTGAAAAACCCTTCCTATCGATACTAAAGATAGAAGTAATGTTACCTCGTTGATTAAGCGATGGAAATAATTATAGTGATATTCAATTGAAGAGCGATGTATAAGAGCGGGTGTGTGAGCGTATGTGGGAGCAAAAAAAGAACAAGAAAGTTATTTTGAAAAATATTTATTTTGAAAAGTGCAGAAATATTAAAAACGTATAAAAATTAACTGTCTTTAAAACGTCAGTGTTTAATGTTTCTATCTATTTAGCAGTCCGTGTAAAAACCGACCACTCGAATTTCTTAAGATTACAGAATTCCTTCATACTTTATGTGTGGAAGAAGTCATTCATAAAATGAACAAAAAACGTTGACTTTGGAATTGTAGTCAGTTTTTAAATTGTTTTCGCAATAATTTTCGGACGCGTTCGAAAACAAGTTAAAAAACATTAATTACGCAAGCGATATTTGAGCTTTTTTATATCTCACAGTTCATCTCGCGCTTTTATTCTAACTTCTTGAAATTTATATATTTTATTATTTCCTGCCTGGGCATAAACCTACACTAAAAAATTATCCTGATCACTTGAAGCAAACAGAATATTGTGATTTTTAAAAACTCCTTGCAGACAGCGGATTAAATATTAGTGTTGGTATGCCGACGGTAAATTTTTTTCTCAAAAGTGCAACGGTATCATGCAGGAATCCAATCTATTGCAGCTACTGAGTATTATGACACATCTGCTAGAATAAAGAATACAATCTTTGGGCAGTGTGTTTTTCGCCTGACAAGCGCGCAGGGACATCGCGAAGCCATCAACATTGGCCGGGGGGAGGGGGCGTCATGTTTTGACCAACATTTCGTGGATTTTGACCAAATCAGATTAGTATAAAACTAGTTTTTCGTATCAGATTAATATGAAACCATCAGATTAATATGAAACTGGTTTTTCGTATCTCTGAGGATGGTTCTAAAATTGAAACACTGCGCGTCCTCTAAGACAAGCGTTAAGTCGTCACGAAAATATTTCGTGCACTTAAATTGGATAAAACTCGCTACCAATTCCTGTTGACTCGATAGCTCAATAGGTAGAGCAGCGGTCTAGATACCCGAAGATGCGAGTTCAAATCCCGCTCGAGCCAACAAATTTTTCGTTGCTCGATTGCAGTGTCAGATTAATATGAAACTAGTTTCTTTTATGCATTTATAATGAAACCAGATTAATAACCTGCATGGTGAACGTAAAAATCTAATTGCAAACAATCGATTGAAATTGGTGTACCAAACATAACATTTTTCTTAATTTATCGTGTAGAGTCAAAGGCACGAGATAAGGATGTGAAAAAGTTTTTTCCCAGCAAAAATGAAATCAAACAGTTATTCGTGGGAACTGGAATTGTGGGGGTACAGCGCATGATGCATGCAAATCTAAATGGATGGGAAAACGTTACAATAAATCTTGCCATTCTTGGAGATTCTGGTGTTGGAAAATCAAGCTTTATTAATGCAATTAGAGGGTAAGATTATTTATTATGCAGTGTGCATGAGTAAAAAGGTAGACAATAGCTAAATGGCCACTAAATTTAAATTTGACAACTCTTGTGAACATTTCTGAAAGCACGAATTGCTAGGGTCTTCTGATTTCTTCAACACTACTTTTGTTCTTAAAATTATTATTCTGAGTTATATATTTTGTAAACCCCATGCATTACAAATTTATGGCGCAAAAAATTGGAAGAATTGAAATGCGGCCTATGAATTAATTAACAGGGGGAAAGTATGTTTTTCTATCAACGATCAAAGTATATGTATTATTAACCCAAGAGTAAAAACGAAGGAACTGTTTTAAACAATGAATCATTTCAGAAATAGTTTTTACTGTAACTTAACTTCGGCATAATTAGCATTTAGCTATTGTATTTTTCAGTTAATTTGTACATTTATAATGCATAGTGGAATTCTCCAACATGTTTTAAGATCCTCTCTTTTATCAATTCTTGTAAATTTCACTTAATTCAGCTTATGGCTGCAATGTAAATTTCGATAAACTATCTATCTATATCTTCCTATCTATCTATTTATTATTTATTTTAGTGGCTAAAATCACTGCATGCATGAGATTTACATTCACTGCGGACAGTTATAAGTTGCAGTTGCGGATGGCTATAATTTACTCATTTGGCAAAGAAATAATTAAAGACCCACGCAACAGAAAAAAATAAAATGGAAAATCCCATTTTTGCTTGAAACGCGTTGACTTTTGTATGGAACGAGCTGTCGTGGTTTGTGTCAGAACTACCTGAAAAAGATATCTCAAATGTAGTGGTTTGAATGTCAGACATCCCTATATGTTTTGCATATATATATATATATATATATATATATATATATATATATATATATATATATATATATATATATATATAAAATAAGTGCAACGACTCAACAAATTCCACTAGGCATCTTTATTAGTATTAGTTTCGTACCACAAGATGTGGCACTCATCAGATAAATTAGCCTTATGACTACAGCAAAAAACCTACAGTATTTAAGTACAAGTGGATGAAAGCTTTAAATTAATCCTATATTTACAAAGCACGCAAAGCAATTATTTTGGGCTACTACTAAAAAGCGATACAACGATACAGCGATACAGGAACCGGAACCTGGAACCGGAACCTGGAACCGGAACCTGGAACCGTGCATAAATTATGCAAATTAGAGAATTTTGCACCACAGGAGATATACATAATAATAATTTACAGGGGGGGCGCAATTCAATGATAGTCTAACATATAATATGCAAGGTATTTTGATTTTTAAATTAAACAAAACAAAGAATAAACATCGTTGTAGCACTATATATTACGAAGTAAAACATGTTTCGTAATTGCGCGCGGCGATTCTTTTTGTCTGTTTTGATACGACTGCATGTGACGCACTGAGTTTATTGATCTTTATTTAGCCGCCGCACTTGATTACGAAATGCAACAGACAGAGAAGGAAACTACGGCACGCAAAGCATATTGGCTAATTGCGCTGAATTCACTAGCAATTGTGCGCTAAATAATTAGAGTGCAGTGTATGTAGTGTATGATGCAATCCAACACTGAATGTGCTATATACGCTGCCGTATTCGGAATACGCGAATATTGCGAATATGCTGCATGACTAAAACTGATATCCGCTTCATTAGTCGTGTCTCTTACCCTAATATAACCGAGTCGAGTCAGATTTCAGATTTCCCCCTTTCCTGGTCTAACATTATATTATATAATCTCCAAAGGCAACTATAAGTAATAGTATAACAAAATATCAAAAATAAATCCATATTGTTGTTATGCCTTCAACAATACGTATAATGTGTACACCCTTTTGAGTTTAACTTGTTTTTGTAACAGGCTACTCACAACTAACTGGATATAGCTACAATATTTGTCACATTTTTGTATTATCGTGGTTTAAATATAGTACTATCAAGTTCCGTTTCCGACATTATAAAAGCAAAATCTGACATTGAAGAAGCTGTTAAAGCGACCAAACTTCAATGAAGTTATCTATATGTTTTCGACGCTGAATTTCAATCAGACAAATCAATTTTTCATTTATTAAATGAATCTTTTACATTGACTCCTTCATATAAACTTCATTTATGTTTGTGATTGATTTTCAAGCGGATATTTTTAGCCAGCATGCAGCTGATATTTATTTTATTAGTTTATATTCGCAATATTCGCAGTGTATATAGCATATTTAATGTTGGATTGCATCATAGACTACACTCCATGCTGAATTCAGCGCAATCTGCTTTGCGTGCGTGGTTCCTCTGTCTGCTGGGAATTCGTAGTCAAGTGCGGCGGCTAAATAAACTGAGTGCGTCGTCACATGCAGTCATATCAAAACAGATAAGAAGAATTGCCGTGCAATTACGAAACATGTTTTACTATGTAGTGCTACAACGATGTTCATTCTTTGTTTTGTTTAATTTAAAAATCAAAATGCCTTGCATATAATATTTTAGACTATTGAATTGCGCCCCCCCCCCTGTAAATTATTATTATGTATATCTCCTGTGGTGCAAAATGCTCTAATTTGCATAATTTATGCACGGTTCCAGGTTCCGTTTCCAGGTTCCGGTTCCTGTATCGCTGTATCGTTGTATCGCTTTTTAGTAGTAGCCATTATTTTGTTACTTGATAAAATTGACAGGACGCGGAAGTATTAACAACACATCAGCATAACGCCAAGCTATTAAGATTGCGCGGTATATTTTTAAAGGACATGCACTCGAGACAGACATATTTTTGTTTTAAATATACCGCGCAATCTTAATAGCTTGGCGTTATGCTGATGTGTTGTTAATACTTCCGCGTCCTGTCAATTTTATCAAGTAACAAAATAATTGCTTTGCGTGCTTTGTAAATAGGATTAATTTAAAGCTTTCATCCACTTGTACATAAATACTGTAGGTTTTTTGCTGTAGTCATAAGGCTAATTTATCTGATGAGTGCCACATCTTGTGGTACGAAACTAATAGTAATAAAGATGCCTAGTGGAATTTGTTGAGTCGTTGCACTTATTTAATTATGCTCTGGATATCCATTGAGCACTCTGCCAAATGTTTTTGTAAACAACGAAACGTAATTATATATATATATATATATATATATATATATATATATATATATATATATATATATATATATATATATATATATATATATATATAATATATATATATATATATATATATATATATATATATATATATATATATATATATATATTAATAATATACATAAAGATATTACTCGACTGTGATTGGTTGATTTCAGTGCAGTTAATCCCAAACAGCAGTGCAATTTTCTGTAATCACAGTGCAATTTTCTGTAATCACAGTGCAAAAATCTGTAACAAACTGATCTGATTGGTGGAAAAACATTGTGATGATTAAATCAACCAATCAGTTTAAAGCAGTTTAGTTTTAAAGAAGTAACGGTCACAGATTGCTTCAAAACAAAACAAACATGGCGCCGCGCTACACAAAGTAAAAGTTGCCTTCGCGTGGATAATATGGCTTTTATCTTTATTTTTAAATGGAAAAGCATTTACCTTAAACAAAACTAACAAAAAATACACAGTTGAGTGGAATTTTCAAGCTGTTAGCGTTGTATAATGTGATAAAACAAAGCCCGGAAAACTTTGCCTGTGGAATGTTCGCTATAAACGCGTAAGTTAAAACTACAATTGTCTCGAACATTTTTATGTAAATTATTAATAAGTAATAGCATGGTTTCTCGTGAAATTTGGATAAACATGCACTCGTGAGTTTTTCAAAGACCTCAAATAGCACTCGTCCTTCGGACTCGTGCTATTTTGAGGTCTTTAAAAAACTCACTCGTGCATGTTATATCCAAATTGCACTCGAAACCATGCTATTACCTATATATATATATATATATATATATATATATATATATATATATATATATATATATATATATATATATATATATATATATATATATATATATATATATATATATATATATATATATATATATATATATATATAAATTAAGGTACAACAATCGACAAAATCCACTAGGCATCTTTATTACTAAATAGTTTCGTACCACAAAATGTGGCACTCTTCAGATAAATTGACCTAATGACTATAGACTAAAACTTACAAGGTTATATATGTATACAAGTGGATGAGACTTTAAAAACTTAATCCTATTTACAAACCACGCGATTTAATTAACATGTTATGTGATAAGCTGACAGGACGCGGAAAGATTAACACACCGCGGTATATTTAAATGTCTAGCTTTTTAAATGTTACTTAAAAGGAATTTTTTATTATGCCTACATGCAGACACTAACTCATTTCGTTTGTTTAAAGTGGCTTTTTTTGGCTTACAAATAATAAAGTATTTCTCCCATAAACACAAATTACACCGATTTGAAGCACAGTTATAAGGCTTAGCTCGTTTCAATAGTTTCCATTTGATTGTATAATTGATGTTTTTGTTTTTCAATTCCCACACGTATTTGCTTAGTTCGGTAGCGTTCCGTTTGTCGAAAGAGTTGAATGATGCTTTATGGTTTGCAAGTCTAGTTTTAAACGAGTTTTCTGTAAGTCCGACATATGTTTGGGGAGGTCTATTTGTTGTTTTGTCCTTAGTAGTGACTGTGGCTTGATATACAACCGATTCAGTGGTACATTTGTTAGATAGTGGGCACAGTTCTTTATTGCTTTTAGGGCAACTACACATGTTAAGACCACTAGTGCTGGAAATTGTAGCCAACGTAAATTTGTTGTGTCCATCGATAGTCTGCTTGATGTTTGGCATACAGCTGTAGCTAATCTTGACTGTATTTCGGTTGAATATCTTGTGTAGTGGGTGATCTGCGGGGAATTCCTCGTCAATTATTTTCAAGAAGGTTTGTCCAACATTAGTCGAAACATTCTTACTATATGGTGGGTTATACCAAATAATTTTTCTTTTACGGCTTCGGGTACTCTTCAGTGTTATTCGATTGGTTTTTGAATAAGGCGCACTAATTAAGAAGGATCTGTGCGCCTTATTCAACAACCATGGTTTGAAAATTACTATCGAGGCTAATAAGAAAATCGTAAATTTCCTTGACGTCACACTAAATCTAACCACCGGTAAATATCACCCATATTCTAAGCCTAATAACACACCTCTTTACGTGCATAGCAAGTCTAACCACCCACCCAGTGTTCTGCGTAATATTCCATTATCCATTAACAAACGACTAACCGAGATATCCTCTGATCAAGATTCATTCGAACAAGCCTCCCCGTCATATCAGCAAGCCCTTGACAAAAGTGGTTATACCCACAAACTACTGTTTAAACACCCCCTAAACCAATCGAATAACAAGAGTACCCGAAGCCGTAAAAGAAAAATTATTTGGTGTAATAACCCACCATATAGTAAGAATGTTTCGACTAATGTTGGACAAACCTTCTTGAAAATAATTGACGAGGAATTCCCCACAGATCACCCACTACACAAGATATTCAACCGAAATACAGTCAAGTAACATCGAACAATACTAGTTCTGCAAGTGTTATGTTGAGTGTACAATTACACAACTCAACATAACACTTGCAGAACTATAGTATTGTTCGATGCTGAATTAATATAAACGAGTATGTTTATGACATTCAGTATATATTTCATAATTTCCAGTCTTAAATCCGTCTGACCGTGTAGCTCAGTTGGTAGAGCGTCGATCTAGTAATTCGAAGGTCGCGGGTTCGAGACCCAGCCGCGGCAGACAACATCTTTCTGCTTGCGCTGGGTATGGAAATTATATAATACACACTCTAGAACATTTTCACCTATATATATATATATATATATATATATATATATATATATATATATATATATATATATATATATATATATATATATATTGGGATGCAAGATATAAAGGAGTTTGAGTTTGAGACATCCTTATAAATATTTTTGGCCTATTTACTGTATAGTGGAATCTTGACTTAATATAAAAAAGGTGTTTGTGCCAAACAGCCAATTAAATTGTGTCGGCCAAAAACTGATTTCTTTAAAATAATTGACGACTGTAAGGCTTTTCGTTAATTTCCTCAATCTGGGCGTATATCATGTTGTAACTGTATACTACAACTGTAGGGAGCCATCTTAAAAGCGGCGCGCATGTATTGTATATTCCCTGTTGTTAATTAGTTTTCACACGACTTATACGCGTCGCTCATATAACAAATTAACTCGTGCGAAAAAAGCATACGTCAGTACTTTCCATGAAGACGTGTTTTGTGTATTTCAATGACAGCAATATCGATGCAAAAATATTATTTTAAAACATCATTTAAATGGTAGCAAAATTGGGGCATCTCATCAACAGTTTCCACTTACAAATCCCTTCAGCAATTAGTGGTTGAAGGGATTTGTAGATGAAAATTTCGAGTGCATGGACCTTTTATAGATTTATTGGACCTAACATTTTTAGCAGATGCGAAAAATGCATGCAATTATTGGTCTTTTGCCAGGAATCGGACCTGCGGATCTGCGATTCCGGTGCAGCGTTCTAAAGTAGAGGAATTGTTAGAGAACGACACGAACGATATGTCGAAATTCGAAGCGTGCAAGGTATCACTAGTTATACAACTCAAAGAAATCGAGAAATTAGATGGAGATATCACGGAATTAGTCGATGAAGAAAATATTGAAAGGGAAATATTCGAACGCTGTGACTTTGAAGCAGTCGTGCAAGAAGTAATTTGCCGGCTAAATTCTTTTGTAGCTGAGAAAAGAGTCATGAAACCTGTTGGAACGTCCGTACAACAAGGAAGTCAAATCAAAACAAATACGCAACGTGAAGTAAATGTCCCGGATGTTGAAACCACCAACCTGGGCATGGTCAACCGGTAACGCCAAAACACATAAATAAAACTAAACTTTCGAAACTGTCATTACCTCGTTTTAGTGGTGATCCCACTAAGTGGGTGCCGTTTTGGGACAGTTTCTCATCCGCAATTGATGAGAATAATGATTTAAATGATGTGGATATAAGGAAATACTGTAATTATCATTGGAATCATAGGTGGAAAATGTATTTATTATATAAACATAAGTGTTATATAGAGTATTTGGCCATTGAGAAAAATCGTATTTGAACACACGTAAAAAATACGATATTTTTACGTGTGAAAATATCATTTGTTGTAAAACGCGTTGCCACGGACGTTTTATTGTTTTTCACTTAATTAATTTTGTTTACATAATAAACATATCATGTTCAACACTCGAAATAAATCTGGTATTTCCGCGCACCCATGTATTATTCTCTATCGGATCCTGGGACCTACAGTAGCTCCCAGAAAGTTTTTTTTAGTCTAACTTTTTACAGAAAATTTCAAAAGCTTTGATAGTTAGTTGCAAAATTTGCAGCACTCTGTTACCCTAGTAAATGTATGATATCCCAATGAATATTTACAATCCAACCGGGGGCGTAGGAAGCAGGGGGGCCGGGGGTTCTTTTGCAATGATCTCTGCAATTGACATCTCCATATGCATACAAGTCTATTCCCTTAGTATTTTTTTGACTGACTATATTAATAACTGCTGTTATAATGGGCAAATGTTTTAGAAATATTTAAACAAATTATTTGTACATGTGTTCAAATATAAACGAACTTACTATTTCACTCTTTTATAGCATTAAAATATATCACTTACTTGCTGACCTGGTGTTTTTCAGGCTTTTTTCTTGCCCGTTGTCGATTACTATAGTTCGTGCGTGAACAGGAAAGGGGAACGCTAACGCTTGATTGGCGTCTATAATTTCGTAATTATCTTTATCACTCAAACTGGAAAATGTCAGTCGCATTGGATGTTTTCTCTTGTCATGAATGTTATTCCACGCTGCGCACATTTCTGCTGATATAGACTTGTAATAAGTTGCTCGTCCAATTTACCAAGATTCTCCATTAAACTTTCCCGTTTCTTGACAAGGGTAATTAAGACAATGCTTACAAATATAAGGCGATACTGACTGAACAACAAACGGAAAATCGACCAATTCGAGACCCCATTTACTTGATTGGATTCCGATATCCATCAGCTCAAGATCTTTGGCGGAAAGCATAGCCACTTGGCGAGAAAACAAAGGAGTTTTGGGCGTAAAAAATTAAAAGGTGGCAGATTGGTGGACTGGCAGACTGTGTGTTTTTAAGAAAATTATGCTTTTGGCGGATTTTCTAAAGTTGCAATTTTCCTGGCGTAAATCTTTGGCGGGCGAAAATGGAGAAATCCAATCAGGCCCATTTACCTTTGTCATCAACAAGATTACGGTTTGTTGCCTTCGATAACAATTCCAAGCAAAAAATACACCAATCTGCAGCAGACATTTCAAATGCCTTATTGTATTTTATAAAGCTTCAAGGATTCACCCTATAGCCCCGCCATGTTGTGAAGAGTTGGGGGTTGACTACCTCACGGGCGTTCTTTGAGGGTGACGACAATGCAATTGGAAAGCGGTTTTCCACTATAAACTCGTAATATCTTCGTAAAATCTTCGTAACATGTTCGTATAAATTAATTATTTATTGTTATTGGCAACAATGACAAGGATTCGATCCGCTATCCTTAGAGCAGTATAGCATTATATCCACAACACTATATACCTATATACATTGCAGCAATCGCTAAAATTGAAAAATATTAGGGATATTAATAAATATTAATTTATTTGTCGCCATTGTCCTTTATGCATTTATTTAACAGTACCACAACAGTAATATGATCTATTAGCAATTCGATTTCAATTCCCTGCAGGGGCCTAAAATCCTTTATGCTTAACAATTGCAAAGTGGATTTCTTAGGAAATTCCGAGGTTGCGTTTTTTATACACCCTGCATAAGCATTGCAAAATGAAAGTTCGAATGTTTCTTGTAATATATGGCATTGCAAAAACTATTCACAGAATGCATGCCTGGAGAAAATTACGTACCGCCAAAGTCTTCTTCAAATCTATTCGGTAGTAAAAAATGTTTCTTTATTACATTACGTCATTAAGGCTTTAGGCACACTCTACTAACCAGCCATCGGGCATCATACCATGTACAGAAGTTGGTTGACATGCTATGTATACGTGTATAAACTGCTGGAAGCCTGGCAAGTTAATATAAATAGACTACACGGCCCAACAGCACACTGGGTTGCTATAGTATATAGTCCGTGTGTTGTCACCTCGAAAAGTGCCTATAGGAAATGATTTTCATTAATTAAGCCTGCCTTAGATCTGAAATACTTTTACGGGAACTGACACTTTCGAACACTAAAGAAATCACGAGAAACTCCAATACTTGATTAGCGGCATACGTTTTTCCAGGGGCAATTGGAACATCTAACTCGGTAAACAGGCACAACAATTTACATAAGGAAGTTAATTAGTGCCGAACGTGGTGCAGGTTCGGCTATAAAGAAATCGTCCAAAATATGGAGAACATTTGAAACTCCTAGTTTGTGTGTAAGAATCCATTTGAGGGCATCAGAAAGCATGTTGAAAACTAGAGGGCACTCAGAGACTGCATACCTCCGCCCGTTACTCGGAAGTGAAAGGCAACCTTGGAATTTCCTAAGAAATCCACTTTACAATTCTTAAGCATAAAAGATTTCAGGCCCCCGCGAATTGAAATCGAATTGCTAATAGAACATATTACTGTTGTTGTACTGTACAGTACTTGTAAAATAAAAACTTATTAAGTGTCATTAAATAAATGCATAAATTTTGGTTTATGCACTCGCGCGTGCAGTAATTTTCACAGTTGTGCTATTTTAAATTCCCAGGCAGCTAAAATCTTTTGTCTTTAAAACAATGTCGATTTCTTGGGAAATTCCGAGGTTGCGTTCTTTTATACACCCTGTATTGAAGTAATCTAATGTTGTTAGAATTTTAATGGACTGGCACTTTGCTGAACGTAATAATGCGTAACTCCGTAAGCCTTGTTTTAGACATTGAATTTCGGTCGCGTGAAATGCAACTAAGACAATAGATAATGAAGGCCGAAGCTTAATGAGGCTTATCATCTCATTATTGTCTTAGCACTGAGTGCATAAATTATACATGTCCTAATTACGCATTCAGTAATATTTTTTGTTAATTGACCGGGAAAAGCAAGACAAAATTTTGTTCATTTCTCGTTCAATTTTTAACCAAATTCAACCAAATTTTAATCAGTTCTTCCTTAGCCGATGGGAAATGCATTCAAAAAATTTGGTACGGATATGTTTGGTATTTCTTGAGTTATCGTGCTCACAGACAAACACACACACATACACACACACACACATACACACACACACACATACACACACACATACACACACACACACACACACATACAAACCCAGATGATTACATAACCTCCTGGCGGAGGTAATGAAAGGGGCACTTCGAAAACCAAAAGGAAGCACACGATCGAAAAAATACAAATCACGCCATTTCATGCCAAAAAGTTCCAATCGTCAGGATGTACTGGTATGTTACGAAACGCGGATTTAACATCGGTTTTGACCATTAAACATTTTGGACGGAGCTTTAGAAGGATTCTTATAGCATCATCAAGGCGTACATGCATGTTGTAGCGAATATTCCGGCCTCGGACGAAATGTTCGCATTGACGCTAGCGTCGGACGTTTTTGGACTAGGACAAGTGGAAAATTGTTCTCCATTTGGACGAATTCCTTTTAGGAATGAGATCCAAAGGGTAAATTCGAAAATTTTGAAATGGGGGTGAAGTAAATTCCCAATTATAGCGTGACCTTGTTTGACTTCGTCGAGTAAATTACTATCGACGGTTTCCGGCAAGAGGTAAGCGGTTTTTAGATTTTTTGAAAAATAAGGGTGACGAGACCCGTGATAACTAGTTTTAAACCCGTCCCTCAAGCCCGAACAGAGGCCGACGACAAATTCACGATCTGGGTGGTCAGTTAACTGAGATTCGAGTAAATTAACATTAATTGGTGTAATTGGTTTTAATTTGTCAACAAAAGCTTTACTTGTGTCTTCTGCGACGCGAAGTGTCATCAACTCTTTCAGCGCAGCTGTTCACCACAGTATGGTCGATTGCAGCGGTGTTCGAACGGACACGGAGAGGTAATACATGGGACACCTCCGTTGAAATTCCGGCAAAACCTTCTTTGGTTGGAAAACCTGCTTGACCGGCTACCTTCAAACCTTGAGGAAAGAGGGCAGATATCATCGACTTACACACGAAAGTTAAACAACTGGAAGATGAACAGAAAAGTTTAATTGAACAGCAATCAAAATTGTACAAAATGATTGCAATACAAATAAACAAAGTACATGGTCATGGAATGTTGTTAAAAATCGTAAGCCAAATCAGAATGAAAGCACACAACGTGGACAAAACTCTGGGGAAAATAGTCACAATGGACTAGCCAAGACAGATAATCAATATTCTGTTTTAGTAATATTCTGGTGCGGGAATAAAACAAATGAATCACTATGTAAAACCAACGTTACTCACGGCACCAAATAAGCTTATTTTACACGTCGGAACCAATGATCTACAAAGAATGACGCCAGATGAATTGTTGACACATGTACAAAAGCTTGGAGAGAGCATTACTGGAGAAAACAGGAATATAGAATTAGTTTTATCAGAAATCATAACAAGAAATGACGATAAAACATTGGCTGATAAGGTAAACGAATATAAGAGGGTCTGAATGGGGTTAACTGACAACTGACAAACGGCCTTAAAGATAACTGTTAACTGACAAATAACGATTTTTTTAACTGTTTACTGACAAGTAAAACTTTACTGTTAACTGACAATTGAAGTTTGATTGGACTTTTTTCCATACTTCGGTGACTCTTTGATCAGGGGCAAATTAGAAATCCG